GAATTATTCACAAGCATAGATAGCAGTAGCACTAGCTGTATCATTCCCAAGGCATTCAGGGGCCAAGTCCAGCAGAAATTTTATAATATTTCTGGAAAGAAGAACATTGCCAAATTGAATGCAGTATAAAGGTTTTGATATTATCCTTCGCATAAATGCTGTAAAATTTTAAAGACTGGACCTGCTTTAAGATGACAGCAGTCTGTTTTAGAAATGTATGTGGTTGGACCTAAAAATTGCAATTTTAATGGACCTACTGATAAAATAAAATTACTTCCTAGAAGTTCATGCAAAGGCAGCTTTTCCACTACCATTGTCCAAGGAGGGCCCAACAAACCCAATGTGATCAAAGAAACAAATAACCCCCAATAAAATAATATTAACACTAAAAGACAAATATTTGTCTGCTTTAAGATTAAAGCAAATGTATGTATGTGTTTAACTTTTCATTTTACTCCTCCAAAGCCTTTCAAAGGTTTATACGACCCCAGTTCCAATATAGCTGGGACGTTGATTTGCAAATCTTTTCAACCTATTCAATTGAGTACACAACAGACATGATATTTACTGCTCAAATGGACAAATTTAATTTTTATTTTTTGCAAATATTCTCTCATTTTGAGTTTGATTCCTGCATGTTCCAAAAAAGCTGGAACAGGGGCAGCGAAAGATGGGGAACGCTCAGAAAACACCTTTTAACCTCTGTAACACTGTTTCTTTTAAAACAATTTTTAAAAGTCCCCATCTTCTCTTCTTAGATCACAAAAACGGGCATTATATCATTCCTCAGATGGCAGACAGGTATGAATCTTTATTTTCTTGAACTGATGAGTGATTTAATTGCATGAAAACAGTCTTTATTAGTTTATGTGAAGCTACCTTTTGGTAAGTTTTTTGCCTGCTTTTTTTCTTCTGTCTGTTAGGGATTATTTGACCATAATGTAGTTTAGTGTTCTTACCACAAGGTGTCCCAGTATAGCTCAGCTCTTTGTGGTTAAAACTCAAATCTCATGTATATTTTCCTAAACTGTAGCTGAATCAGCATCTGTTTGTTAAAGCTGTTTCAGAGCTGCCATTTATCTCCACTCGGCTCCCGCTCTGTTCTGGCGAATGTTTCCACTTGATAATAACAATTAAAGCTGTTCTTGTGTGGCTTCTCCTCCACTTCCTTCTGTCTGTTTCTTCCTTTTTCTCATTCATTTTCTGTTCTCTCCCTTTGGCTGCGCTTGGTGGAGCCAGAGCTCGTCCTAAGTGCCCGACACAGAGGTATCTTTACCTTCCTTGTTCCTCTCTTTCAACAAATAAAAGTAAAAAAAAAAAATCTTCCTCAATTTCAAGTTCTTCTCTCTATTCCCTCAGTTTTTTCCCCTCGACTTTACAATCATAAATCTGTTTTTTTTGTTTAATTGTCATAATAAAAATAAAGCCTTGAAATAAAATTTTAAATCACTGTTTGCTTAGTTGTTCCTGTTGGTAGAATAGTTTAAAGATTTGAAATGAACTTTTATTACTTGTGACTACAAAACACTAAATGTTTGTTCTTGTTTAGAATTTAATTTTACATTAGTGTGTTGTGAAGTCTGTTGTGAGAAATCTTAGTTTACATAGACTGGTAAAAATAAAGATATTTGACAAACCAGTTGATTTACTGAATTATTACCTCCAACAGTCGTGTTAAAGCTGTGCCAGTCTGCATTGCACCAGCCCTTTCCCATTTTGTTTAACAAACTTCCTTCTTGCTTTTTGCTTTTATTACCTTATTCTGTGTTCTTACCTCTGTCCCTCTCTGTCTGTCTCTGTCTGTTTATGATCAATTTCATCTGTTTTATTTTCTGCTTTGTTTTCAGTCTGGACCTCTCTGAACTGGCTAAAGCTGCCAAGAAGAAGCTTCAAGCAGTGAGTCACATTTTAAGATGACTAATAAACAGTTTATGTTGTAGTACCGCTGACACTAGAATAAATTTAGAATACTAAATTCAAATTAAAGTTGGATGGAAACTCGACTAATGTCGCTGCTGCGATTGCAAAAATGGCACCTCGAGTTGTTGTTGTAAAGGCAGCGCAGACGCAACCAGTAGCTGCGTTTCCATTGAAAATGTGCGCAAAACGTTGTTGATATTCTGTTAATGTAGAAAAACACAGTTTCGCATTTGCAGTGTTTCCATTAAGTAAGAAATGCTATTAAAGTCGCACGTGAATAYGCTTGTTCTCGCGATGAGTCATTACAAATATGGCGGCAATGGATGTAAACACGTAGCATAATGCTACCATGACACTAGTGCTCATCATCAGAGGAGACGTCGGCATCTTATCGAGGCTTTCCAGTGACAAGCCCCTTATACTTGGGAGTGGCTACGTATGCTGTGTTTTTGGGAAAATGTAGTCGGTGAGTTTAATTCTTTCTTTTACTACTTCGGTGATTTCACTACCACTTTTACCTCCTGTTATCTTCTTCTACATCATCTTTTTCGCCAGTAGAAACAGCTGGTTCTTGATCACGTGACTCCCGTGATGCGAAAAAAGTGTTTCCATTGCAGTTTTGCGAAATACATCAATTTCGATACGGCCGAAAAACCACCTCATCCTAGAGCAAAAACATTTTGTCGAAAAATGTAATTTTTTTTTTWAATTGACGTATTTCCATTGAGCACATTTATTTTCAAAGTTGCAATTTGCGCATTTTCATGGTCAATGGAAACACAGCTAGTGACTCCGCCCCCTAGCCAATCAGTGACGATGTTCTGATGTTGCATTTTGGTGTCGACTGGGACCACAACAAGTAGGTACTAAAAAAAAGGGCTGGTTCCAAGAATCTGATCTAATGGAAATGGCTTGGAACCGTACCAAAGCGTACTGACACTACACTAAGTGGCACTAGTGGTAGGACGGCCCTACAGGCCTGGATTAGACRTCAACACTCAATCTGCTTGAGGGAGCTGAAGGACAGTAGACAAGCACAGGAACTGATAAACGGCCCAAATCTCAGGTTTGGGAACGCGCTCATCGCCCTGACAAGGAAAACTTTAAAGGCACAGTGTGTAGGATTTTGTCAATTCTTTTAGCCGAAATTGAGATAATCACCAATGACAATAATAAAAAAACATGTCATCATTGCAGACAAATACCTTGTTTTATTATTTTTACCTTATAAAAAGCTGTTTATATCTCTATGGTCGTGGGTCGCCACTACAGGCAGCCGTCATCTTGCACCGCCATCTTGTCTACGAAGGCTCATGAAGGACAAACTGCGGTGGCGGCATCAAAAACGGTTTTAGTTGTAATACTATAAATGTAATATTTGTTGTCTGTTGTAGCTGGGATAATTTTACTTATTAAAGCTCATAATCTTACCACTTGAAACATCACTAGCCCTGAAGCTGCTGGTAAACATCGTGGTTGGAATTATCAAAGGTTTTTGACACCTGAGAGACACCGTAGCTACTCCTTTGCGTTTGGAAGCGGGGGTGGGGGTGGGGGGGAGGACCAGGGAGGATGATTCAACCACTCAACCACTAGATGTCGCTAAAACAACAAATCCTACACACTGTGCCTTTAAGTACACCGGTTCGAGTCCTAATTGGGCACAACCTGCTCAACCTCCACAAAATGGTGATGGGACTCCATGACAATGGTCTGTGTGATGCCTGTGGCATTGAATTAGAGACCTCTTTGCACTACTTAGGCCTGAGTGTTTCTAACCTTGTGTCCTTCATCTGAAGGGTCAAAGGTTTCAWTAAAGCTCTGTGTCTTTTTGAGGAGAGCCCACTTACAGTGGTTTGCAAAAGTATTCATACCCCTTGAACTTTTCCATATTTTGTCACATTACAACCACAAACATAAATATATTTCACTGGAATTTAATG